GGTTACCTCTGTGCCATTTGCCAAACGCAAAAGCAAAAGCAAAAATGCTGTGAAGCAGTTGCGTTTGCATGGCTGTATTTTAGTTTGAAGGGTTGAGTATGGCAATTACACCATATATTCTGTTATGCCCATAGTACTGTTCAGGTCTATAGGCAACAATTATCATTTTCCATTATATGAGCCGTCAGTTTCCGTAACAAGTTGCATAAAAAAGTGAGGGGAAAGGAATTGTTAGTAATGAGGTTTGCAGCCCCACTGCTAGCAATATACCCTATCAGATCGACCTCCACGCAATTCTTCCTGGAAATCATTTTGATAAATTCTTGAATTTGTTGCGGTGGGCTAATTGATCTGCTTTCATTCTCACTTATCATCTCTCACTGGTATTCTACCAGTGTATGCCGATAGTGTAGGCGGGGCTGCAATTCCATTTTCACCCAAAAAAAGTCAGGGTATGTAATCTCTCTTTTTTTGCAACTTTGAACGGCGGTAACGTTAAGCGGCGCCATTGACAGCACAGTATACTCTCATGTATATAAATTCTCTTTACTATTCTCCACATCAATCTATTTGTCTGCCATTCAATAATATAAAAATGAACTTTGTGTAAAACGAGCAAATGGTCATTTGTCTTCGTCACAATGTAAAGAATCAATATATTGGGGCGGAATATATACATAAGTGTGTAATAACGACGCTAATGATCTGTCGTTTGGGCAGCTCACAAGTTGTTAAACGGAATATGTGATGAGATCCCTTTGTGTAATATTAAAACGAAATTGGTTTCCCTGTTTATACAATTGACTTCTATGCTAATGGTCGTTTTACGTAGGTCGAGATATAAATAAAAGGTTTCTCAAAAATGTATTGCAACCCTAATAAATGAAAAAGTACGAGTATATTGCGTATTTTCACCATTACAGTACAATACTGCTTAGTGGATTCGGTATATTTTATTCTAATATACATGGAGCTACGTATGAGCTAGCTTCGTTTATTTATTAATAATCTCATTGTACTAATAGTATCTGCGAAAGATATAAAGCCGTATAAGACAAAAAATACACTCATTATCGCCATATGTCATTATTGACATATGTCAAGTAGATAAGGTACCCACTGAACACAATGGCAAACAGCAATAGCATATATATCGTGATAGTTAAGATATTAAGAGGTTACCATTAGGTGAATGTGTAACTATTCTTATAACATTACATGATGAAATCATGATCCCTGGTGATCTCGTGTTGGTAAATAAAATAATATAAGAAGTATACTGGTATATAAAACGAAGACTATAACTGTCATTAACATAGCATTATACATCAGACCCATTAGACAAGTGGCGAATCCATCGATGGAATCGTCATTGTTAGCGAGTCCATGAGTTAGAATAAGACACCGGACGTTGTTATCTCATTCTGTATCATGGACTCGCTAGCGAATACGATTCCATCGATAGATTCGCTTGTCGCTTTTTTAGAGGGCCTTAGACATGTCATAGAGCGTAGATGATTGATCTCAATTTAGAACTAAACGATGTCAGCTTTTTTCCTTTTCAAATTGCTGTTCACATTTTTCAAAATTTCCATACCTGGTAGCATTAGCAGTATATTATACTACGCGTATGTGTCTTAAGGTGTTGTTAGATTAAAAAAAAACTTTAAAAGTGATGGTTCTTCGGATATCCAATTGAGTCAACAGTATTCCACATCTATATTGTAGATATACTATAAACATTATGGAGTAAATATGCTTATTTGCAGTTTTGTGTCTTATAGATTATTATAATACTTCCACTAGCTGCACAATACCTGGGTATAAACTCTTTCGAAACGATCGCATCACGTCTGGGGGTGGAGGTGTGGGGATTTATCTACGCAACCAAATCTCTGCCGAAGTAGTGTGTACATCGCAACCGCAGTTCTCTGGGTCTCTGGAGTATTTGTTTCTCTCCCTATCTCTCCATCACAAAAGAATTCTACTTGGTGTCTTGTATAGCCCTAATGACAAGATTGATTACTTTAATATCTTGGAAAATACTCTAGATAACTTGGTTCCTCTTTTTGATCATGTTATACTTATGGGTGATCTAAATACATGTCTTTTGAAAAATGACCATAGGACTGGCAAACTTATTGCTTTAACATCAGCCCTTGATCTCCAGGTCTTGCCTATGCCTAAACCTACTCATTACTTCCACAACAGCAGACCTTCCCTTATTGACTTAATCATAGTTTCACAACCAAATTTAGTATTCTCCCATGGACAAATGTGTTCTCCTTTCTCACAGCATGATTTAATTTATCTGTCCTATAAAGTGCGTCCCCCTAAAAACAGGAATAGGACTCATTTACTTCGCGATTTTAAGCATATGGATGTTGAGCGTTTGAGGGAGGATATGGGGAGTATTGATTGGTCTCCTTGTTGATGGCTTCTTGTATCGACACCATGGTGGGGATATTGAACAGCGAGTTGCTTAAAATTTACAACATTCATGCACCAGTCCGACCGGTACGGATCAAGCATGCTCCTGCTCCTTGGCTTACCCCTATTATTAAGAGAAGTATGGCAAAGCGTGACAGGGCCAAAAGCAGATATAAACATGAGAGATCACAAGTAAACTTTGACACGTATAAAAAACTGCGGAACATCTGTAACAGAATGTGCAGGGATGCCAAACGCCGATACATTCATTCTACTATTCAAAACCTTTCTCAGACCCAAATCTGGAAATTTCTCCAATCACTGGGGGTGGGTAAGTCCTCAGAAAATTGTCAGAGCGGTTTAGATCTCAATGCTCTAAATAATCATTTTTCGTCCTCCTCTGTTACACTCAGTACTGTGACTAAGGCAAATACTATATCATATCTTTCTAATCTTGTCCCACCCGATTGTCCTCCATTCACTTTTAGCTTGGTGACTGTAGATGTTGTCAAGAGAACCATTCGTTCATTATCTACTAAAGCTATCGGTAGCGATAATGTGAGCCTTGATATGATCCTTCCCGTGTTGGATGTTATTTTGCCTGTGCTCACTCACATAATTAACTTTTCTCTCATGCATAATGTCTTCCCATCACAATGGAAAAAGGCTTACGTCATACCACTTCCTAAATCTACTAATCCGACTAGCTTTTCCCAGTACCGTCCCATATCTATTCTTCCCATTCTTTCAAAAGTTTTAGAATCTATAGTTCACAGCCAATTATTTAAATTTCTTTCCACCAACAACCTTTTATGCCCCTTTCAATCGGGCTTCCGACCCTCTCATAGCACTACTGGAGCGCTTCTTAATATTACAGAGGACATACGTCGGGCTATGGATAGCACAAAATTGACTGCAATTGTTTTGTTGGATTTCAGTAATGCTTTCAATTCGGTTGATTTTGATGTTCTCCTTAGCACCCTTCGTGCAGTCAACGTTTCCACTCCAGTTATCGAATGGTTCTCTTGTTTTCTTTTCGGCCGCCAGCAGTGTGTTAGAACCAATGATGGTTTATCGAACTGGGCTTCATTAACTGCTGGCGTGCCTCAAGGCGGTGTACTTTCCCCTTTATTATTTTCTATCTTTATTAATAATATTTCTCGAGTCATTACTTCTCCCTTCCATCTGTATGCGGATGATCTGCAGTTGTATCGTCACTTTATGCTGTCTGAGGTTACACAGGCAACTTCAGCTCTAAACGATGATCTACTGGCTATTCACTCCTGGGCTAAATCATTTGGTCTTATTGTTAATCCAGCCAAATCTCAAGCTATGATTGTCGGTAGTGGCAGGCTGAGGTGTAAGTTGGAATGGTCTCAGATTCCTCCATTGGTATACGAGGGTACTAAGATATCTTATACTGATAAAGTGAAAAACTTAGGACTTATTATGGATAGTACATTGTCGTGGACCTCTCATATTAATGACATTAGTAGACGGATGTACTTTTCATATCACTCTCTCAAACGTCTCCAATACTTTCTCCCTTTCAATACCAAAATTATGCTTGCACAATCTATTCTTCTTCCCATTCTGGATTATGCCGATGTCTGTTTCTTAGATGTGACCGAGGAGCTGCTAAATAAGCTTGAGCGGTTGCAAAATTTAGCGATAAGGTTTATTTTCAGCTTACGAAAATATGATCATGTCTCGGAATACCGCACTCGTTTAAAGTGGCTCCCAATTAGACATCGTCATGAGACACATGTCCTAGCGGTCCTATATAATATCCTTAATAATCCCAATTCTCCTTCCTACCTTCGTTCCCGGTTCCAATTATTACCTCCTCCTTCCAGACCTAGACGTCTTTGTCTGAACCAGTCCAGGGTACTGAAGCTTCCCTGCTGTAAAACCCATTTTATGGGTAACTCATTTGCATATCGTGCTGTACAGCTGTGGAATAAACTTCCCGTGAATATTCAGAATAGCCCGTCTAGCAGTTCCTTCAAAAAAAGATTAAAATCATTTTATCTTTCCAATTTAATTTAAATATAAAAATGATTAGAAGACTGTCATCATTGTGTTCTCTTGTATTTGATATTTATATGTTGTATTTAACGTGTGTATGTATGTGTGTATATGTATGTGTATGTGTATATGTATATATATGTGTATGTGTATGTATGTATATATGTGAATGCATGTGTGTATATATATAATTATTTATAATTTATGTAAATATTTATTTAAATTTCTGTCTTGCACTACTACTGCCCACTCACTACTTCCTATGCCACTGCGTTAGGTTGACTGGAAGAAATCTCTTTTAGAGATAAGTTCGCCTTTGCTAACATTGTTATTAACTTATTGTTGTTACTGTATGTTTTTTGTGCAATAAAGAATATATATATAATAAATTTTATTATTTTAAACATTTTTATTATTAAGACAGACTTTCTTTTGTTTAGATTTATAGGGATGTTAAACGCCCTTTTGTACGTGTAAACATGTACTAAGCATCTGTGAATATAAACGCTTTTATGGTAAGGTTATATATATTTTGTCGGCAGGTAAAGATGTCATACATAGAAATATACAACGAAAATATTAGAGATTTATTGAACCCGAGTGCAGGAACTTTGGAACTGAGAGATGAAGGTGGAAGCGGGGCGCCGGTGGTGGCGGGCTTGAGCGAGGTGCGTGCCACCAGCGCGGCGCATGTCGCCGAGCTACTGGCGAGAGGTGACCGTGCGAGAACCGCTGAACCTACACATGCCAATCAGCACTCCTCTAGGGGGCATGCGTTACTTAGGTAGGTATTTTTTTGTAGATGATAATGGAATGGTAACCGCGCTTGCACTAACGGTTTACGCTGATGGGGCACCTGTGATAAATGATAGGTGAGAATGAAAAGGTAGGTCTATTAATCCATCGTGACGATTACACCTGAAACGATGGTTTCCAGGTGGGACCACGTGGAGGTTAACCTGATAGGGTATATTGTTAATAATGGGGCTGGTAGTCCGCATTACTAACAATTCCAGCTTCGTATATTAGCTGCGGCATATCTACTTTATCCTAGTTGTCGTCCTTCCATCCACCCCATCATTAATAAAAGTGTCCAATATACAATTAGAGACATAGGTTTGTTTGACTGAATGGGTTTTATATTATATATTGAATTCGCTTCTTATATTAATGTGAGACAATGCTATATTTGTTGATTTTATTATTTAGTTTATTTGTTTTTTACTTTCTTGGCATACGCATTTGTTGGCAAGTAGAAAAATACACTTTGTTACTAGTAACTATTAATATATTGTATATTTAGATGTGAACACATAGAGCCAAAGTATTAATTTCGTTTAATTACTGTTTGCCTTAATTAACTATGCAGTTGTTAATTAGTTAGTAACGGATGATTGTGACTCACATGGACATTGACCTTTCATTGTGTAGGTACTTATATTTACTTATAGATATTATATATTCCCAATGAAATGAGGATAACTTATACTTAGGTATTAGTAACATTCAATTGCCTAAATTTCAGTGTTACAGTAAGTACAGAAGTAGAAGGCGGCGTACAGAGAGGGCGGCTGTTTCTTATTGACTTAGCAGGTTCGGAACGCGCTGGATTGCGCGCGCGCAGGCTCGAGGGCGCACACATTAATAGGTCGTTGCTGGCACTCGGAAATTGTATAATGGCGCTCTCTGGCGGGGCCAGGTAACTATAACGCGTGTAATTACTGCTCTATTTATACGCATGTTGCAGGCAAATGGTTGCATATTAAATTTTTGTCTGTTGTGTTAGATACGTGAATTATCGTGACTCGAAATTGACTCGACTACTGCGGGAAGTGCTGGGTGGTCGATGTCGAACGGCCATGGTGGCGCATGTGGCCCCTGGACACGCCCATCGTGAAACTACTCGTTCCACTTTGCACTATGCTCAAAAAGCCTCTTCCATCACCAATAGGGTAAATAAAAATTCATTATTTAGGTAAGATGGTATATATTACAATCAGCAAACTAACATATCGGTGTTAGTTTAGTTGGATAGCGCTTAATAGCGATCTGGAAAATTCAATATTGAATCCCTGTATAAATCTCTTCATTTTCAAATTTGTCTTTGGATCATATAAAAAAGATTGTCACTGGCTTTCTAATTCGGAGGGCACATAAAACTGTCGACCAATAAGCCATTTTAGATGCCCTTGTGTACAACGAAGTCGGCTCAGAGATTATTAACCGCCCCTCACACGAAGAGTTTAGTAGTAGCAAGGTAAAGTTTTTTACTGATAATTTTCGAGATATCGTGATAGATAAGTTATTGCGGCAAATTACAGACAGGCGCCGATATAGCGAATAAATTAAATATAATGGTCTACGGTTATGTATCATTTATAATAATTGTTGAATGTGTTACTATGGATCTTGTCTGTGTTAAATGTGATGATATTATATTATTTAAATGGAAAGACGTTGTATTGTATTGTATTCATATTTTGTGATTTGAAATAGGTCGAACGGGAAATGGTGGAAACACCTATGCATTTATCGCAATATCGTACAGTCATAAGTGAGTTGCGAGAAGAGATAGCACGACTAAAAATGAAGATGAAAGACGACCGTACAAGGTAATAAATAATCTAAGTAACAATAATCTAATTATTTCTCTTTTGTATCTTATACATATGGCATGTATCTTTTCGTTACACTTTAGATATGATTGAATGTTATGAATCTTTTAAAAGAGTCACGTTCATATTATATGAAATTTATACATATTTTATTAAATATTTTTCACAATCATAATAATTTCTAGGTCTAAAGAAGAACATCACATAGAAGAAGAGGTAAATAAAGAGGATGCCGCAGAAAGTGCTGCGCATTTGAAGTCTTTGCGGGAAGCAATCGTATCGACTTTTAAACAACAGATGCGTTTACGGCGAAGACTGATGGAACTAGATAGTCATCTATTAGGGTTGGCTCTGGATGCAGAGAGACAGCATGCAGCTATATCACATTGGGAGGCAAGGTTCAACCGCTTGTACAAACCAATCAATATGCCCGGCTCCAGACTTAGCACGCAACAAAGCTACAGGTAAGGATAAATATTTATAAAAAAAAACAAATGGTATGTATAATCTGCTAATATTATAAATATGAGTTTGTGTAGGTGTTTGGGTGTTTTTATTTATTTATTCTTTATTGACCACATTACAAAAAAATGTTTGGTACATCTGCGGTCAACAACAATTACAGCTCGAAAAAAAGGTGTTTGGTTTTGGATCTTATAATAATTGTGTAAAAGAGAGGTCGTAGTTATTTTGTCTTTTTTTTTACATCAATAATTTCATAATTAGTAAAAGAATAGAGTAAGTGTAAAATAAAACTTACAAGTTTTTAAAATAATTATAACTTACCTATATAAATAAAAATCTATTCTCGAATATATCTAAGCGCATCACATCAGAACGGCAACGCCTAATTAATTAATTCTTAGTGAATTCTTTTTGTTTCGTTTATAAATGCATTTATAATAATAAAGACAAGGTTTGTATGAAAAAAAAATTTTTGAAAAATCATATGGAAAAGTGAAAGTTTAAGTTATAAATCTCCATATAAAAGGAAAAGATTTGGTTTAATTTTTTTATTTCATTCGGGTGTACTACACGTGCGAAACCGGAGTGGGTATCTGGTAATTTAAAAAAGATAGTAGTTCGATTTTAATAACAAAAAGAAAAAAAGAAATAGAGAGTTTCCTAGTACTCCTGTCTCATCGCCCTCATCATTCTTGAATCGAAACCACTGATGTTATAAACAATAGAATCACTGTAGATATTTAGACATAAATAAGACAGATTTTTTAAATGTTTTATTTAGTTGGGTCAAATTTAAATACTCATTAAAAGTAGAAACATATAAGCACATGTGATACCATCCAAATGCCATTTACTAAGTATATCAAAATACACCCTTATATTTTATTTACGTAAATGACCCGATGGTTGGGAAGCGATAAAATAATCAAACACTAGCTGACCTTGTAAAAAAACACCGAGTAGTCCACAGGCTTCGAATTTGGAATTGGATTGTTATCAGTGAATTTATGTGCACCAATGTTGAACATAAACAACGAAAATTTTAATTCAATTCAATGCCTTGAAGAGCCTTGTGTTTATAAATATACTCATTAATAATCCACCATACAATTCATACCTTTTAATTTATGTACTAATATAATATTTTTTACATAATAACATACTTATTTCCATTTCTACTTGTAACCGAAATCTCTAAAATGAATGAGAAGTGACCGAGGCAAATAAAAGGAATATATGGTAATAGGTATTCAATGTGTATAATAAGTGAACAAAGTCGTAGGGACAGTGACAGAAAAGCTACGAAGGAACTATGTATTTGTATTGGTATATACATATCACGTCATGTAATGAAAGTAATGTTTTAAACAAGGTAATAATTAATTATATTATAATTGTTAAATTTTATATAATTCGCAAATTCTGAACTGATTTAAGTAATTATTTTAATTTCTGTAATTTTATTTTTATACCACAAGGTTGCAAACAAACGTATAGTCTGTCTGATGGTAAAAGATTATGTAGCCTATGGACGCATGCAACACTAGGGGGTGTCTCGAGCGTGTTACCGATCCTAAAAACTTTAATATACCCTTTTTGAAGAAACTCGTACTATAGTCTCTAGGGAAAAACTCGGCATGGAGGTCATTCACAGCCATATCATTCCCGCGTTCGCGGAAGAAAATTCCTTTAAAACCGCACTGTACGTGACCATTTTTTTTTTTATCTGAAAGAGATCTCTTCCAGCTAACCCAATAAAGTGATAAAGATGTACCTAATTAGCGGGCAGCTTAAATGAACGAGTGCTGTGATAACAAAATGTTAATTTTTATACTTTTTTCCTATGAAAAATGAGTACATAAGTTATGTTGTTTATTTCTATTAAAATACATTGATTGTTGTATTAGAGGTGGTACTGGATTGTCCACCAGCAGTAGTGAGCGAGCCGAAGCAGAGGTTGCGGTGGAGCAGGCGTGGGCGGAACTCGCTGCCGTTGAACGAGAACAGGAGAATGCTCGGGCCGAGCGCGAGCGAGTGGAGCGTCAGCTCGAGCAAGTCCGACTGAGGGGGGCACAGCTTGAGCAGGTACGTACTACACAGGCTACGAAAAATACGTGGTTAAGTACTTGAAAAAAGTTGTTGCTATTACTTTGAATGTTGGACAATCAATATTGGGTTCTCTATTCGATTTAATTTCATGATTCAATATATTAAATTTGAAATGTGCTTTTGTATGAAAATAAATATGTATTAGTAATAAGAAATACTAATTACTAGAAAGAAAACTGAACTGGTAAAAACAAATTGCAATAAAAAGTACTACAGTAGATTATATTGGCGTACAGGAATTACCTGCACGCATAAGCAGCGGTCCTGAGCGAGAAGTACTGGCACTGGTGTGCCGTGTGCACGAATTAGAGGCAGACAAGCTGGCTCTGCAAGGAGAGCGGGCGGCACGAGCTCACGAGCTGCGCCGCCGCGACCTGGCGCTGCAGCGACGAGACGCACAGCGGCGACTCTCCGACGAAATTATCACTCGACAACGAAGAACGCTTGAAGGCAAGTATTCTATGCTTCGTAGTTTTATTTGGTTACAGATCGTTAACAGAATGAACGCTATAGGTTAAAATAGATTTTTTTTATTAAAGGACATCCTAAAAATAACGATTTTTTTATTGGATAACGCTGCGCTAACGCTAACGATATTCGCTGACAGGGCGCCAGTGAGGGATAATAGGTGAGAATAAAAGGCAGGCAGTTAGTCTATTGTGATGAATACATCGGGAATTCAGCACGATGGTTTGATGGTTGGAAACCACGCGGAGGTCGGCCTGACAGGAAATATTGCTATGCAATGGGACTGATAGTCCGCATTACCAACAATCCTTCCCACTAAATAATGACTTTATTGGTGAAACTGACCATTTTTCCTATGAAAACAAGAATGTAAATTAATGATTATTTGTTAATTAAGAATTCTATTTTCTGTATACAGAATATATGGATTTTTTTGTAAGGAAGGCAAATAAGAAGATGGTCTCACTTATGATGACAATAGCAAAGAATGCAATTAGGAGTTTATTTAAAAAATATGGGACTGGATATTTTGTAAAGTAGGTAGATACCTAATATTTTACTGTGGGAGAAAGATATTGTTAGTAACTGAGTCTAATAACTCCATTGGTCGCAATAGCAATATAACCTATCTGATCTACCTCCATTGTTGAATTTGTTACGAGGGGCAAACTTACATCCTTTATTCTCAGCTATCATACCCTGGTACCCTGCCAGCATATACCGATAGCGGATGCATTTTTATTATTTCATTTTCACCCCCCCAAAAAGATTTAATTTTGGTCATGTGGTAAGCTTGATAAAATATTATGATTTTAGAAATGGGCATAGGCGTGCCACCGGAATTGGCGCAACTGTACGAGTTGTACCAGCAGGAAATACATGCTTCTACGTACACTGAGAGCAACGACATCTACACACCGCCATATCGCTTACCACCTATTTCTACGAGGTAAAATTATATTATAAATTACTAGAATTCTTATTATAATAATGACACGAATATTTTTCGAATTATTATCACAGCTCTATATATTATATTCACACAGATTAGAAGGTTGTCGCATAAAACATAGTGACAGAAAGCATAGGATAATGATGATTAGATTTGTGTTCACTTTGTGTTGTTTATATTTTTATTTAATTTATATTACAATGAATTGACATGAATAGATAGAAAAGTGACAAAATATTATTGCAAATGTATATGTTATTATGATGAAATTATTTTAATTTTTTGTTTAATAAGTTTTTATATTTGCACGCCTACAGTGTGGCAGAATAAGATTGGATTATTTTTCTTGTAAAGTAACACTTATAAAATTGTACCTTATTCCAGTAAATAAATGATTTCAATTTCCAGTAAAAAAACAAAACCCCAGTAGCATTGTAGATGTTCGCTGACATGACACCATTGAGGGATGACAGATGAAGATGGAAGCAGGTCATGTTGGTCTATCTTGAAAATTAATTATGATTTATTCACGATAGTTTCCAGGTCGACTCGATAGTGTATATTGCTGTTAGACCCGATTAATAACAATCCTACTGTCCCCTACAATTTCTGTGTTGTATATTCTTATTGCAGTCTGTCGGAGCTGACATGGTCTGAAAGTTCGAGCGGGTCAGGGCGCGGTTCCAGCTCGGGCTCAGGCGGCACGCTGGCTTTAGATCATCGGCTACCACGTTTAGCTCCTACACCCCGGCCTCGAACTAGATATAGGTAAAATTACGTTATTATATCTAGTCTAAGCGATTTTTACTTAATGTATTTATATACAAAAGTGTATATCAATTATAAAGCATCCATAGTATAAACTGCTTAGTTTATTACTATATGATACACCTAAGGCAAGTTTTAGTTGCAAATATGTCTAGATTTTTGGTTGATTAGGGTGCGTGGTAAACCCTAATGTTTATATCTGTTATTTATAAATACTTAATATCTTTACTTTTTGAATTTATCAGCCAGGCCAGTGCAGCCACCATGAAACGATATGCGAGTGACGACAGCCTGGTGATGGTAGCGCCCCGCGGCGGTGATACGGCCGCACCTTGAGACAACATGAGGCAAGTCATGTCTGGAGAATATCATTTATATCACTAAAAGTGATAATATGTGGATTTCGAGTTTTGCAGATGCAAGTATTTGTCTTGGCTACGTTATAAGTAACGATGGATGTAATTTGAAAAGCACTTGGAGTCGATTCTATTCAACAATGCTGCTTAATGTAGGTATGTCTTTGTCGGATTGTCTATCAACTGATATGTCAGGAATCTTTTAAGTTTTATAGGAATTATTAAAACTGCATTTTGTTAAATTGTTGTTTGGTAGGTGTGATGTAATCACGTCCATCATTAATAAATAATTGTTTAAAATTATATTACAAACTGTTTCTAAAGAATTCTCAAATATTTTCATATTGTTATAAGTCAAAATAGAAAGAGAAAGTATTTGCCAATGACTTCCGCTTCTATAATTACGTACTTTATTTGTTGGTAGATTATAATTGTGTGCTTTATACATACTTAATAATATTAAAACTACTTGTAACAATAATAATTTATCAGTTTGTAAGTACGAATATGTCTAAATTTGTGTTCATGTTAAATAAATGTGATTCGTGTTCAATTATGTATATATTTTATTTCTGTAATGCACCATTTTCTGTTATTAAAAAAATTACAAAAAGATTACAAGTGAATACCGAGTATCTAGATAGATGTGCCGGTCACAAAATGTAAATTTAAATCATAAATTATTTCATGACAACGCAATATTGGGCTAAGATGTTTAGCTATAGACTTGCTACTGATTTCTAAGTTTCATTTAAATCTGTTAAGTATAATATATAAAGTTACATGGCTAGTTAAGAGGTAGGTATAAAATTGTTTGGCCATACTTTTATTAGAAACGGCAAATTCTTATCTGCAAGAATGTAATGTTGAGAATATATTGTCAATTTTAACGTAATGAAAACCTATTTTTCGGGAACTTAAGTTATTTATTTATATTTATTTTAAATTATTTAGACATGGTATTAAATGAAACAATTTTTTTTTTAAAACTATCTGATATATCTGTCACCACAAACTAGGTTAAATTTTTATCGGGATCTAAAGATTATATTTGTTAATTTGAAGTAACGATCATATTTATTTGGAGTTAGTTAAGCTCGCAAAATATCTTACAAGAGTTGCGGCATCTGTTTAATCCATATCTGTGTAGATATGGTATATACGTATTTTGTTTGAAAATGAATATAGTTGTGGATTTATAATACTGTATTTTAATTACCTATGGTAGATAATTAAAATACATAAATCAAAATAAACAAACATTAAAAGTATTCTTATATTTTATTAAATAAGATTATTAAAAAAATTGTGGACTAATTAATAATAGACACTTACATAGTATTAACACTTACATATTTATTTTATACTAGCTTTTGTTCACGACTTCGTAAATGTGAGATTTTGGAATTAGGATAATGATATTTTCAGAATTTATATTCGTCCTTTTGAACACATCCACTTCGATGCTTAGTTTTGTGATTTTTATTTATACTATAATAATCTCATTACTATGAGCGGACTTTACAACATGTATCTATGTATATGTAGAGACATATGTTGTCTGGTATAAACCTACCGAAATATAATAAATATGTAGTTAATTAGTATTTAAATTAGTAATTAAATTTTTACACTAGTGACCCAAGAATACTTCTTAATAAACAGGGTCATTGTCTTTAAAGCCGTGTAAGTGGCCGTGTAAGTCGGCATAGAATGAGCCACCACTTCCTTTCTCGTGGGTGTCGTAAAAACAATCCCTGTCCTTTCCCTTCTCGTGGGGTCGAGGGATGGGCAGCAGCATCCCTCTTAAAACATCACCAAAGTCCTAACCTAACTATGGTTGCTAACCTGCCTATTAAGTCAACTACTGGCAAAACTCCTCCATTATGTGGGAGGCCTATGTTCAGCAATGGACAATTAATAGTTGATATGGTATTGTTTTTAAAGACTGGAATGTAGGCAATATTGACAGAAAATCTCAATAAAATTAAGATTGATGACTCACAGTGTCTCTTTTTATTACATGGAGAGAAACGTTTGGGTCAGTTTCGTTTCTTGCCCTTTAAAAAACCTAATTTTTTATTTAAAAATAATTTAAAATAATTTATAATTTTTTTAATTATTCGGCAAGACGTCGAACGAAAAGGAACATTTTGTTATTTTATTACTTACAACTAGTTACAAAAATATGGCCACTTAATAAAACGTCATTTAAAGTATAAAACTAATATTCCATAAATTTCTAATGTAAATAATAATAATGTAATGTAAATAAAAGGAATAAATGTAACTTTACATTTGACTCAGGCGATAGTATCTGTTATTTGAGATACAAGCACTTTTTGAAAAACAAAAACTAATTTTCTTATTCTATTATTTGAAATATTTTCTAAAAGTAACTGAAATTAATCAGATTAATTAAATCAAAAGATCTAAGACAAATATTTTTATATTATTTGATGACCTTTTTTTTGTCTTCCTAACACATACCTGTGTAATATCTTACAGGTAAATATTCAGTAGTAGCTATTTGGCTTTACTTGAAATATGATTTTCTCATACTCCTACTTATTACCTAACATCGACATCTTGCTATGACTAAGTAAAGATGTCGGTACGACTGATGATGTCACGAAAATTTCAGCCTACATACAGATATTATTTTAAATCACAGACAGTAAACGAAAGTCCAATAAATAATGTTGAAGAAAACGAACAGAATAGGAAACATGATTCGGGATCGTTTGTCTATCCACGTAGCGATCTCTTGAGGAGTCATTGTAGTCCAAGTGTGATGTTTGGGTGGTTCGTCGGAGCCATCGCTGTCGGCACCATTCTGCTGTCTGTTGGGGCCGCCTTGACCTGGCATAAGGTCGTCGTAGCTTTGTGTCGTGATCGTAGGCAAGTTTAGTGCAGATGGGAAACTCTGAAACATTATAGGACAACTGATTACAATTTGAAATTGATCAATGATTTTAATTTACAATAAGGATCAACGCAGACTGACAGAGTGTTAATGAACAGCTAACTAGGTAATCTGAAATTGCGAGCAATAACGATATTTTCGTCGCTTTTTTTATCAGTCTGTGTTGACTCTAAGGTCAAAATTTTTAACATTAAAGCTTATAACAGAGTACGCTTTGCACTACAATAATTGCAGTTAAGTTTCTTTTTTTATTATTATTATATTACTTAAATAAATAATAAATTAATAGTATTTTGTAATAGCAAATAAACTTATGGTGATGAATCATATGCACCTTATGAAGAGTGAATATTTTATAATAGCTATATTGTAAATAATGCTTATAATACGTCATCATGGCTGCAAACTAAATTTTTATGGCATAGGGATTAATCCAGTAATTACATGCTTGCGCTACTAAGCAGCTATATTATGAGAAGAACAGAGATACTCATGTATCTTTTGTACAAAGTCCGACTTATCTTTGGATATTTAATAGATTTTTTAACAACATTTTATTTGAAATGATTGGCAAGTGATTGCATCGTTACAATTCTTACTAAAGATGACTTCTTAATATGAATATATAGGATTATCTAAGTACACAAAATATAAAGCACCTATAAATTACTACATCTCATTAATTAGATACTTACCATGTAGGTAATATAGGAATGCATAAAACAATATAAAACAGAATTAAATATTAACTATGTAATGATATCTTACATATATTTTGGATAAATAAATAGCTGAATTATGTTTGTCATCTTCTTTCTCTTTTTACATAGATTTTATAATTAGATAAGTGGTGCTTGCTTGTCAGTTAGTGCTCGAGTTTTATTAGTTCTCCAATTAAGTGAGTACTACTTGAATATATTAATAAAAATTATAAGTATGGAGTTTGTAGACATGAACAAAAAGCTATAAAATATAAGATGAAGTAAAGAATTTTTAGGTTGCTATTGTTAGGTTTTTAAGTCATAGTGTTATTGCTTTTATTTGAAATTTACATTTCAAATATTCGTTGAACTAGGAATCAAAGAGAATAGAAAAAAATAGAAAAGAAAGTACAAAGTAATACTAATAGCTTATGTTTACGTTATTTATTAGAATTTAAACCATTTATGTTAGGCGAAGAAAATTAAATGCGATTAATTTATATGTGCTGAAGATTAAACAGTTGAAATGGTTTAATAAGCTAATTGAGAAGATCATAGTTGCAAACAGGATAACTTTTTTAAATTCAAGGATATAAGGAATAGTGCCTAAAATTAACTGGCATAGTAGACTACAGCACTAATACTAAAATAGTTGGGTAATATCAGTAACTAAAGATAACGTACAAGAAATGGTTGATTGAGAGACAACATCCAAAGTTGCATCCTGAAATATACTTGCTAATAGTTCAGTCTAATCTGAAAGTTTGTTATCAAATGCACCGATTTGTTATAGATTCTAATGGTAGGACGATAGTCATTTAGGCCTTATTTATACTTTTTATTCATTAGAAAACAATACTTACGTGTACTGTTAAGTAGTTGTTGTATCCTGGTCCTGCAGGGTCGGTGCTCGTGTCTTGATTCAATGATGAGCATGACCGTGACTTGGAAAGCTGAGGCGACGATTCCTGTAACTCCTTTTGTAATTCCTTACGCGCAAGCCGAGGAGTTAGCGTACTCTTCAAAATATATTTGCTGTTGACCTTCTTTAAACTAACAACTTTCCTGTAAAAGGTTAAGTAATTTTATGTGGTTATTTTGCATACAATACCTATACTCGAATGTGCTTTGAACATACTTGGAATATTAAATTTTCGTGCATGATAGCGCGATTTCAAAAAGTATATTTTGAAGTTTTTGTATATTTTTGCAGTACTAAGACCCTGAGCTTTACGATGTTATACCACAAAGTTAATTCAGCTGGAGAAATTATAAAATTCAAACATCGGTTAAGTTTTAGATTAATATAAAAATATTATAAAACCGTACTTTCTTCTCCAAATGGTATTGACAAAAGCGAATTCGACGAGTGCAGAGAAGATGAAACCGATGCAACCGAGGAACCATATTTCGCTGGCTTTGATGTACGACACCTTGGGCAACGTCTTGGCTTGGCTAGACGCCAGGGTGATGAATGACAACATAGTACTGGTACCTGGAATGAGGAAAACACTATAATTGTACTTTGCCCAATTTATTTTATTTTTGTTGAATATGCATGTTATTATTTTCAGCTGTTTCCGTTATGAAATTGACACGTTTTTGTTATAGACTAACTTGGTTTTTTTGGAGACTTTGATTTTGATTTACTCCTACTTTTCAAGGAGCTGAACACATTCTTGGGTCTTGGTGGACTGAGTCTACCATTATTACAGTTCAGGTTCAGTTTGAAAACAATTCTTTCAATTCCTTCTGTTTAACCTTAGGTTAGACGGCGAATGTTATTACAAAGATATAAGTTCAGGAGCGTACATTTAAAGGCAAAAATAATTATCAATATATCTTATAAATGCAAACATACATACCTAAGGTGATTCTAGGAGCTGAGGCGTCAGCTTGCAACCAGAATGTGACCCATGACATGGCAACTATCATCATGGATGGAATAAAATAATCCATGAGGTAGTAACCCACTTCTCTTCCCAATTTAAATGTAAATTTTAAGGCACTGTAGTTTCCCACTGCAAATAAAATTGTATTAAACATAAGTAGCTGCAATTTGCGCTAATGTGTATCTAATATGAATAAAATATGGAATATTATATAAGCTGTGCCTGCGACCTCGTCAACATATGGGATATAAATAATATGAAATAGTAGGAGATGAACAAAATTCGCTCGTTTGCCCTTAATCCATTATGGGATATAGTATTTTCATTATGATAATAAAATTTTTGTGTCATTAGTATTATTTCTGTACTGACTGGCTTACAAATTAGAGCATTATTGATACAAAAAACAGGAAAATTACTTTGTTTGATTTTATATTTTTAAAAGCCCTACTCACTATAATGTTTTTGTCATGAAATTTGTCGTATATAGAATGCCATAGACTACTTTTTACTTCGGTCAGTGAATATGTGCCAATAAGACAGATTAAATACTAAAGGGGCGGAAGGGATTGTTAATAACAAGTACTTGTGGTTAACAATACACACTGTCAGGTTAACTTCCATATGACCGCCTGGAAACCATTGTGGTTATTTACTGGTGAATTTATCATGATGAGCGAATTGATTTAATTACATCCTCACCTTTCACCATTTACTGATACTCCGCTAACATATACCAATAACGCAAGAGGAGTTATTATACTATTTAAAAAAATGAAGAGGAGGGGATTGTTAGTAGTGTGATCCCTAGTAGCTAGTGAATAGGACTCTATTTTCCGCGCTTAGCCTCTCATTTGGGCCGTTGTGCGTATGAGACGTGGCCAGTACCCTACGTAGTACTCGTAATCTACGTGGTCTCCCTTGAAAATCATCGTGGTTAATTCTTGGTGAATTCTTCACGATGTCATTACAGTCAGTTGGACGATCATTATCGTCCAACTGACCTGATTTCGGCCTTACCTATCATCCTGCATTGATGTCTCACCAATGTATAACCAATAACGCAAGCAGCTTATCATTAGTCATACAAGAAAACCTGAATATTTTCAAGTCAAAAATAAAATAATTAGATTAATTTAAAAAATAATGAAAGCAGTTATTACTTCTACTACCTCCTATGAGGCGCATACTTGAAATGTCTCCACGAACAACAGATTCGTTAGTCCAAAAATCTATTAGAGAATATTCCGTAAGATGCAATTCTGGTGACAAGTGAACTGGCGGTATTCCTTTTTCCCACATTAATCGCAAAATGGATGCGTTGTATTTCCCTGTGTACATTCAAGAAAGTAATATTAAGATTTGAATATAGTTAATTAATTAATATATACAAAATTTTATATATATTATATACAAATATGTGAAAAATATAATTTATCATTTATGTGTATATAATTGATAGAATCTATTTTTTACAAATACTTAAAAAAAATATTAAGATTTATTTAGGACTATTAACTATATTATGCATAATAGATTTTAATAATACTTACAACTTTCAAGATTCATTGAACAAGTTTGATCATCAAATGGAAATTTTTGTAGATTCATCCAACAATAAAGTACGGCCTGCATTCGACGGCTGAAAACTACTTCCCCGGAGGGTGATATGGATATTAGAACGTCTTTACTATCAGTGCCCATTAAACTTGATGATTGTTCATTTGACATATATAAATGGGGAACCCATATCCGACGTCTTAGATCGTCCTCGCCAATAATTGTCACGCGTTTCGGTGAGTAAAGGTGGTACGCTAAGCGAAGGTCAGTCCACCGCAGTTGTAGGAGGAAATGCAATTTGAAGTTCTGAAATAAACATTGTAACATTAAATTAATAACAGCCATGTCATAATGAATAATGCCTTGCTAGAAATTACCAAATCGTAATGAAAAATAGTTTGCGTAGACCAGATAGTATGCAAACAGAGGTTCGAGGAATACAGGAAGTATGCCTTATTAAACTTTATTACCTAAGGGGAGAAGGAGTATTCCTTTTCCCTAGGAACCTCCCTTAGGAACTGAATTATTGCGTCTTACTTTTTCCCTCAAATGATGAAGAATTAACTAAGCAATTACTAGCCACATTTTTACTTAATATACTTGTATTTGAAAGTATCTTACCAAATCATGTGCTTCAGCTGGTTGTATGAAGTAAACATAGGCACTAGCATGCACGTATACTGTCTCACCAGTGGCGTACGTGGGGAGCAGGAGGCGGTCGTATCTGCATTCGTCCGCCAGCCGCGACAAGAACTCGGATTGGGTAAAGTTGTCACCTTCATTTATGGACGGACAGTCTGAAGCTGGTGTAGACCTGTAAAATAATTAGTGGAGGTTCAGGTACAAATGACTTTTTTTTCATTTTTTTATTAATTAGTCGAATAACTTTTCGAAGTCATGTAAAAAAGTTAAAATTGCAATAGTAGTAGAATGAGACTTTCTCGTATTTTTAATCATTTCCATAATGTCTAATTATCTTTCTGTCCTTATCGCAATTATATAAATTTTAGTGTTGGCATAATAGGTTTTTATTCATATTACCTAAGGTTTTGGCTTTTAGATTTACAACCACCCACCTGCCTGACGTTAAACGTTTTTGTTGCATTTGTTGGTAGTATTGGCCACCAATGGTATTAAGGAAAAGATTAAGAAAAAAAGAGGAAGATTTCAGGAATAAATAACGTTGGTAGAATAGAAATTGAGAACTTATAAGGAAATTATCATCATCATCATATCAGCCACTGCTGAACATAAGCCGGTGCAGGGAATGCTGGTAAAAAAAAAAAAAAGGGTTGTTTATCTGTGTGTATGATCTACGTAAAAAAAACCAGATAGATCACTAGAAAAAAATATATCTGGTATATTTTTATCATCATATCAGCCCTTAACTGTCCACTGTGGAAAATAAGGCTCCTAATCTTGGGGGATTTTGCCCGTAGTTACCACACTTGACAGGCGAATTGGCAACCGCAGTTAGGCTTTAGAGATGTTTTAAGAGGGATGCCACTGCCCATCTCTCCATCTTTCGACCTTCCTTAGTCGCCTCTTACGAAACCCATGGGAAACGACGGGATGGCCTATTCTATGCCGGGACCACACGGCCATTACCATAATGTGTAATAAAAAAATATTGTATTCAAGATCCAAGTCTATAGGAGATCTTTTAAATTTTCTTAAATAAGCGTCTTAGCATTGTACATCATTAGCAAGGACGAGTAGGTTTACCACTCTATTTTTATTCATAATAATTTTCGTACTAGGTTTTTTTTTTTAATAAAACTTAAAATTGTTAACAAGCTGACGGCATACCTAATAAAAAGCTGTAACGGTCGCCTATAGACATAGATATGAGCAGCACCATGGACGGCACAGAATAATTCGTAGTATCCCTCATGCGTTCAATTGTTGAGGATTATTGTATTAGTCCTCCGTACCATGTACCAGAGGGAGACTTTGTACAAAAGTCGATTGCTTGGGTACCTCTGTCCCATTCGTGTTTCTACCGTGAAGCAGTTGTGTTTGCATGGCTGTGTTTCGGTTTGAAGGATGGGATATGGCGTGAATTTACAGAGTACAGAGGAATAACTCCTGAGTCCTCAGGAATGGCAACGCATGGGGGGTATCATGGGCGAAACAGTATACTCTATTATGACCATGGTATTGCTCATATCTATAGGCGACGGTTACCACTTTCCATCAGGTGGGCCGTTAGCTTTTATGCCATTCTAAGTTGTATAAAAAAAAGTAATTTTACTGCCACTACGCGAATTTGCTTGAAAAAATGTACACGAAAGACCATAGCCTAGTTTAACGCACAATGATACTTTACATCATAACTAACCCGGCAAAGATAAAATATTATAACATTGGAGTTATTTTTAACCAAGGATAATAGTTCTCAGGTCAACGCATATCTAGATATTTTTTTTATATTCGCGTTAACTGTACCACGCGTACTTTGCATCCTATATCCTAATTCTATGTACTTTAATCGTATACCAAATTTCATTCATAACAGTTCAGTCGTTTAAATGAAATTGAGTATCAAACACAAAAGATCCAAATATTTTCACAAACTTTCAGATTTTATAATATTACTAGGTTGTAAGTACTACGAGAGTGAAGCTTAAAGTATTAAAAATTTATTTGAGAAATTTTATGCCATCTATTCTACTTACTACAAGAAACTTTTTAAATATATTTGGCCAAAATACTGAATATTCAAAATTTAAATGTTCAGTACTCCAAAATACCCCACTAGCGCCGGTGTGATCTATGGATTATGCTGAATAAATTGAAATTTGGTATAAAAACCAATCGATTTGGAATATGATAATATTCCAGAATAATATATAAATAACCTTTTATCTAAATTCACCAGGAAAAAATTGAGCATTATAACTTGTATTTAGGTGCAATTAATATCATAAAAGTGATAAATACAAATTATGAATTATTTAGGTGATCCGTAAATAATTTTTAATTTAATTGAAAGCAAAGTATATAAAGAAATAATATTTTTGTATATACAAAAATATACAAAAATATAACCTGTGAAATGTAAGTAACCACAATATCTAATAATTTACAACAGGATCTCAAAAACGAAAAAGCATGGCAACTGGGATAAAACAAATAGGTAGTTTATTCATTGCCGAATTTCCAAAACGCATTGAACTTTTCTTCGAAAAATATCCGGATTTCATAAATTACCTGCATATTAATAGATCTTCTAAAATGTAAGCAAAAGTATAATTTTTAGATGATTTTATTTTTGTTAAATCCAAAGATGCATTAAAATGGGAAGAGTTCAGTTTAAGGCAAGTTCATCATTAAACAGATTTGTGTATTTTCAGCTCGTTTACATACCAAATACCACATAAGTATTGAACACATTGTGTTTTAGACAATAGAAAATGGTATTCTGCATTTCATTATCGTATTATGATTCCTCACGTGCTAAATTGCGTAAGCTCTAAGTATATTCAATAACAATATATGTACTTAGGAGGAATATTTGCAAAAACACGAAAGCATTAGGTTAATGCATGGCTACGCGTATGTATGGCAAGGTCGGCATAGTAGCTCCTAACAGCATAAGACAGCTAATATTTGTGGTACCGATAACATTGTGCACCAATTTGTTGAGATATCAACTAGATTTGTTCTTAGATTAACGGTTATTAAAGCACCTGCATAAATAATACATTAGTAACTAACGTTAAGGTGATAAAATTGGTCAATTATGGTAGAAATTTATTTATAGTTAAATTACTAAAAACGTTTTAATACCGATATATGATATAACCGTTGTCTACTCGTAAATAATGTTTCAATGTGAAAAAAAAAATTGAATATATAGAACAACTTCAACATCATCATATCAGCATTTGACTGTCTGCTGCAGAAATAAGCCTTCCACTTCACGGGTTATACTAGTAATTGCCATTGGCAGGTGGATCGGAAACCACAGTTTTTTTTTGTTCCGTAAACTTTGTGTTCTGTCGTTAATTTTTATACGACAACTTTTTTCTTATTTTAATTTTGCTATTGAAGGTTTAGCTGGGTTTTTTTGGCAACCACAGTTAGGTTTGAATATATTTTAAGAGGGTCGCTGTTGCCCATCCCCTGGCCTCCTTTTATCGCCTATTACGACGCCCACGGGCTAGGAAGGAGTGGCCTATTCTATAGAACAACTTACTAAAATGAAAATAGGATGGACAGCGACGTTAGGATTACCTATGTTCTAGGTCCGATCTTGAGTTAGTATTCTCCGTAAAGCATTGCTCTAACCACACGTTTGGAAGAGGTCAGTCTTACCTACTAGTCATATTGCGTTTTCACGGGACATCTATAACCTATCATAGTATGTTGTACTAGGGGCAAAGGGATTGTAATTGGGTCCTAAAGCCTAAGCTAGCGATATATTCTAACAGATCCACCTTCACGCGGCACCTCTTGGAAACCATCGTGGTTCATTCTTGTTGAAATCGTTACGATGAGCTAACTAATCTGCTTCCATCCTCAGCTGTCATCTCACTATCGTGCAGCGCCATTTTGTGTCGATTTGCCTGGATAGAATTATGTTAGCAAATGTTGAGTGTAGTTGAAAAGGAAAAGCAGAAAAACGATACACTTTACTTTTTATATGAGCATTCTTTATTCATGATAGCTTCAAAAAATGCAAAAGCTTCCTAAAAACCCCTTGTTCTGCATTTGAAATAAAGTCAAAGTAGACTTACGGAAAGATGTGAAGAAAGGCAATACCGATTTGTTTTTAATATAGCTGCTGCCTTTTTATTAATAAAAAGATTATTCTTATAAAATTCTATAAAAAATTTATGATTCAATAATATCGTCTAGTTTTAGAACCTCTATCCTTTTTCAAGATACTAATTCAAATTCGAATAGTCGCATTCAGGTATAAAAACATGGCTACGGAACCAAATAAAGAAAATATGTATTATAACGTATTCTCTTGGCCGTTACTTATCAAATAGATAGTTGAGTATTGTAAGTATACATAAAGATAAAACATTGCTTTATTAAATATTAGCAGTAGGCAGGCACCTACATTTGCTTAAACTCGATATTCATAAGTAAATTAAATGTGACTCTTTTGGGTCTACACCTTCATCTAAATTATATTATACTAGTTTTTTCCCCGCTGCTTTGTACACGTGGATTTTAGTAATAAGAAAATGAACAAAATAGACCACTTATGGATGGATATTAAAATAAAACTAATACAAGTTTTTTAATTACACCTTTAGCAATACAACTATGAAAAACAACAAACCAGTTTGGTGCAGTAACTTTTGTGTGATGTCAAAACAATCATACTAACAAAATTTTTAGCAATTATTTTGTTTTCTATTGATCTTACCTCTCATATTTGGTTTGATAACCGCATTTTCTCTTATCCGAAAGGTTGAAAATTTAAATAGAAACATATAAAAGTTATCGAGCAGAATCGATTCGATGCAACAGAGTTTATAGTACGACCTTTCGGTTTATTTGGTTATCTAATTCGCTGTAGGTACTACATATACTAATAAGCCATGATCCATTCCTTTCATCGCCAGGATTTTATAAAACGCGATTACACCACGATACATTATTATTTTATCTATGACTAGCGGTCCATCGCAGCTTTGTACGGGTAGAGACAGAAAGATAAATTAGTGTTTTATATTTAGGAAATTTTGGATTATTACTGTAATTTCTATTTTCTCTAATTATTTTGAAAATAATATATAGCCTATGTTACTTGTTGATAATGTAGATTTCTGTAAATGAAAGAATTTTTAAAAT